TTTCAAACTTTTCAGAAATTTCATATCTTCGAGTTTTCAAAATTTTTAGAATTTCTGGGCCCGAAATTTTTTCCCGAATATTTGAACTTTCAAAATATTGATTTTTTGATTTTCCTGGAATTTTTGGAATTTTCAAAATTTTAAAGATCACAAAATTTCAGAAACACGACAGAATTTCGGGTAGGGATTTTCATATTTCAAAAGTTCTTAATTTTAAAAATTATGGAACATTGAAAAATTCAAAAAGTTCTAATTTTCAGATTTTATTTTTTTTCAATATTTTAAAATTTTTGAAATCTCTTATTTTTTCAACTACGCCTATTAAAGTCTCAAACATTCGAACAAGCTCAAAATTCAAATAATCTCGACTTTTCGTTTTTTTTTCTCCCGATTCCGGAAAAAACAATTTCATCGCCTCTATCTTTTTTTATCACCTTTCAGGTGCACAGAATATCGACAAGAATTTGAAAAAAATTCGTTTCACACAAGTTAAATTTCAACAATGCACGAAAAACGGATTGCCTATATCCTATCAATATATCTCTCACATAAATTGAGATCATTTAGCACTATGTTGACGGTTTGGGTACGCTTCTATTAGATAAAATACGGTAATCGTTGGGTACCGTATGATTGCTTTTTTTGCACATTAAACATCTTGCTTTCATTTTCAGACCTCCCTATCACCACGGCACCGAGAAAAGCTCCTTCAAAAAAATCAGAAGGTGTGCAAATGGCATTCGCCGGACTCGCGGATCTTCGTCTCTTCGACAACGTCTCTCAGTACATCAACACGTTGGCTGGAGAATTCTCACCGGACCCTCTCATCTACACGATCACAATTGCAAGTGTTCCATTGTTGACAGACTTTGGTGTGATTATTTCGGGTGAGTCTTTTCTTTTGCGCTCTGTTGAACTGGGATTTAGAGCTTGTAGAACTCGCCAAGGGCTGTATTTTGCTATTAGGGAACTTTGAAAATGTTGAGTTTGGAGTGACTTATCGGTTGGTCTGGGTCGCTACCGTCTTTCATTCTTCACATGTTCGACCCAAAGAAACAACATACGATAGGAAAACTTAGGAGCTTTAAAATGATCCAATCTAAAAAGCTATATCTTGTCTATGAACAAAGTTACAAACCAATAACCGGCTGAGCTACATGGTCACATCTTTACTTTGGCTGCACCATGTAGCTCAGTTGGCTTGTAACTTTGTTCACAAACCAGATACAGTATTGCAAATAATATCATCTTGTAGCTCCTAATTTTGTCTATAATACACATTTTGTTTTGTTAGATAATGTCAACACAAAGAAAGTTATGGACCTTATGCTTGCGGCTCGCTAACGGCCCGCCGGCGGCCCGTTTTCATGGCTGAAGGCTTCCGCCCAAGCACATGATAGATCAAATAAACTTTTAAAATTCTCAGTTTGAATTTTTTCCAGCTCTGTCTTCCCCTTTTTGAACTTCCTCAAAATCTCTTCTTTGAGAAAATTTATAAGCAAATTTGGCTAATTTTCAGATTCACCTAGAAATTTTCCATCCTACTTTCGATTTATTTTTTTAGCCCGACCCCTTAAGTATTTGATGTCTAGACCCCTATTTTATTTTTGTTTACTGGGCAGACATTTTTTTTTCTTTTTAATCGTGCCTAGATTTCTTTTTTAGTTACCACTATACTAAAAAAACAATGAATCTGAACATTTTTTCAGGAATCTAAACCTATATAAATGTTTTTAAAAAATTTGAAAATTTGGAAATCCTGAAATCCTGAAAATTTTCAATTAAAAGTTTCCTAAATTCCTAAATTCGGAAAATCATAGAAATTCCAAAGATCCTAAAACGCCCGAGATTCACCAAACTCTCAGAAATCACATTCTTGTGAGTTCTAGAAACGATGAAATTCTAAAACTGTTGGCTTTTTGAAAATCCAGGATTCTGGAAATTTCTGAAATTTCCGAAATTCTCAAGTTTTCGAAAATTTAAAAACAAGTCAGAATTCCACAAACTTTGAAACTAAGTAATCTGAAATTCCAAAATTTCCAGGCAATTTTAAAAAATCCGAAAAACCCAAAATCCTCGAAAACCCTAAAAATATCAAACTTTCAGAATGTTTCAAAATCCACAAACACTCTGAAATCCCAAAATTTGTATATTCCCAACAATTTTTGAAATTCAAAATATCATAAAATCCTGAAATTTCAAAAAATCCATGAATCCTCTGAAATCCCAAAATGCACAGGTTCTCGAAAACCTTGAAAAATCTGAAACCCTAAAACTGGCGAAGCTTCAAAAATTTTTAAAAAAGTCCTGAAAGTTCAGAGAACCCGAAAACAGTTTAAGACTTTCTGAACTTCCTCCAGATTGGCTTTTGAAATTTTTTCAAATTCTTCTTGATCTTCTGTTTTTTCTACCCAAATATTTGATTCCCCCTCTAAAATCCACCTAAATTTCCCCTTGTCATTCATTCATTCATTGAAACAGAGTTCACGTTTCGTTTCTCTTTTTCTCTAATCCTCTTCACATTTCCGCATCTCTCACCTCCTCCTTTCTTTCCGCACGCGCCCATGCCGTTCACGTATTTGCGTCACTTGAGACCGTCCGCCCGCCGCGCGGTAACACTTTCTCTGCGGTCTCTTCAAATCACACACTCTCTCACCTCTCTCTTGGTTTTTGACAGAGAATAACGGAAGAACGGAAAACCGGTCATTTTTTGATTTTTGAAGCTTTTTGGACACACGTATACGATTTCTATGGCATTTCGGCTCCTCTTCTTCTTTCGTTTTATTTGGTTTTTGCTGATTTTGAGATCATTTATTGGCAAATCTGCTCTATTGAGATTTACAGTGTTAAAACTTTGAAATCACAATTTTTAGTTCCAATAAGTTTGTAAATCCCGAAAGTTCGAAATATGGAAATTCAGATTTTTTAGGATTTCCAAAACTCTAGGAACTGAAATTTGGAAATACCCAAAAAAATAGCAATAAGTTTAAAGAATTTCCAGACATCCAAGAATTAAAAAAAAACGCTGATTTTCAGAAAATTCCCAAATTCTAAAAGAAGTTTCTCTTAATTCCATAAAGTTGAAATTTCAAAATTTTCAAAATTCCTAGAAATTCAGAAAATTCGAAAAATCAAGTTTCAGAGAGTTCCAGAAAATCCAGGCTTTCAGAATCATGAATAAACCAAAAAAGTCCAAAAAACCAGAAATTCACAATTTCGAATCGAATTCGAGGAATAAGGAATTCCCAAAAAAGTGGAAATTACAGAAAAATGAAAATTAGAAGATTCTAAATTTCACAATTCTCAATTATCTAAGGAATTTCAGGAAATCAGTATTTCCAGAAAAATCCAAGTTATGAGATTTGCAAGTTTTAAGAAAGCGAGTCAATCAAAACTAACTATAAGAAATTTCAAAATCCTAATTGCTAATTACCCTAATTACCCTAATTATGACTAACCAATTAGTCATATTTTTCCTTTTTTTCTTGCTGATCCCAAAAAAACAAATCGTTAGTACTTTTATTTTTCCTCTCCTTGTCAGTACTGATAAAACAGTAAAAACAGAAAACACATGATCAATTTCATCAGACGATCTGCAAATACAGTGCGTAACATAAGTATAAGGCCACACCAAAATCTAGCTATAACTTGTTTAAATCGCAATTTTTCGAAGATTTGAAAACATAATCGTAATCAGCATCCAAAATTACCCCAGAAAAATGAAAAAAAACACAGATACACGAATAAGTATAGGGCCACTTTAGAAATTAGTGGCTGGGCACCCGGAAAACGTGAATCCGGTCAACAAAAAATGTAATTTAAGTAGCCTGTCACTATTCGAATCATAATTTCCCAAAATTACTCTGTCTTTGTCCGTTAGATGGGTGCGAGTCGCTATTTTAGGTCATTTTCGGTTGAACCGTCTGGATTGTCAGCTTGAAGATCAAAAGTTCAGATTAGAGAATCTCTAGGGCCTTATTATCTGTCCAGTAGACATTTCCTAGGTTCACTAACTTTTTCGCGCTCATATGAAGTACCCAACCGTGTTTCCAGAACCATGAAAGAGCCAAGAAGCTTGCGAGTACACAAATTCTGGCAGTCACCATCCCCAGGCATCATGGTTGATAACCGAAACTGAGAAGGCAGGGTGATAACGGAAACTGCTAAACGTGTGTAAGTCATCAGCATACATTTTAGCCGGTGAAAAACAGAATATGGGACAGGGAGAAGCATCAAAAACCACAAGACAACCACTGTTTGGAGAAAACAACAACAACCGTCTTAAAAACTCGAAATAAAGCGCACGACAATGTTCCGGTTATGAAGTCAGACTTAGCAATTGTAATAAAACATGTCCAAAAGATAAATCAGAAAACTGACAAACCACCAGGAACTTTTTTCCTGATCTGTAAGAGGGCCATTAAGCTTTGCTTCAGGATAAGGTTCTACTGCGGTATTTGAAGCTTCTCCCTGTCCCATCAACGGTTTTTCATCGGCTAAAATGTATGCTGATGACTTACACACGTTTAGCAGTTTCCGTTATCACCCTGCCTTCTCAGTTTCGGTTATCAACCATGATGCCTGGGGATGGTGACTGCCAGAATTTGTGTACTCGCAAGCTTCTTGGCTCTTTCATGGTTCTGGAAACACAGTTGGGTACTTCATATCAGCGCGAAAAAGTTAGTGAACCTAGGAAATGTCTACTGGACAGATAATATGGCCCTAGAGATTCTCTAATCTGAACTTTTGATCTTCAAGCTGACAATCCAGACGGTTCAACCGAAAATGACCTAAAATAGCGACTCGCACCCATCTAACGGACAAAGACAGAGTAATTTTGGGAAATTATGATTCGAATAGTGACAGGCTACTTAAATTACATTTTTTGTTGACCGGATTCACGTTTTCCGGGTGCCCAGCCACTAATTTCTAAAGTGGCCCTATACTTATGTTACGCTTGCAGAAGCCGATTTTTTAGCTTTTGTTCCGGCATCCGGTCAGTTTAATGAATAAAATTACCAAATTCATTTTCCTGGGGTAATTTTGGATGCTGATCACGATTCTGCTTTTAGATTTTCAACAAATCAAAATTTAAAAAAGTTATAGCTAGATTTTGGGGTGGCCCTATACTTATGTTACGCACTGTACATGTCCATGTTGTCTGAAAATGAGCTCATTATTGAAATTTCTGAAAATTTTTAATTTTTGAGGTTCCCAAAAAAAAACATTCAAATATCTTGCAATTTTTCGAAACTAAAAAATTTCTTTTTTGAAAAAAAAATTCCGAAAAAAAAGTGCTTTGCCTTCCTGGTACCATGGTAATCTCCATGGGAGACGAAGGGCTCTTCCGTTTTGCTCTTTTTTTTGCTCTTTTTTTCTATTTTCATTGTTTTTTTTTTTGGAAACTTGGAAACAAATTTGACCTGATGTTTCATATATCTTTTGACCTGGATAGGTCAAAAATCAAAATTTGAAGAAAAACAATATAGCCAATATTGATCCTAGCGGGTGGTGCACAAAATACACTTTGTCTCTTTTTCTTTGGAAAAAAAACTATGAGCAAGAACCAAGAATTTTGGAATTTCGGGTTTTTGAGTAGTCTCTACCGCAAGTAATAAAAATCTAAAATACCGTATTCAAACTTAAATTCTGAGAAATTGGAAATTGGAAATCTTGGAATTTTTCAAATCTGAAATTCCAAAAATTCAAAACGAATAAACATTTTTTGTATATTCTAAAAGTTTCGAATTTCATCAGAATCGATCGCTTATGATTATGAAAACTGATTCTTTGTGTTGGGTTTTCAGCAGTTCTCTTGATCACTCAGTTCCAGTGAGGTACACAGGTAGGAATCGGCCTGGAACATTCAAATGTCTCAAAATCTATATTCAGATTATCCGAGTTCTCTGAAATTTTCAGAACATATGAAACGAAACTAGAGCTCTATTTTTGTAGTTGACAACTTTTTTGTAAAATCAGGTCTTGAGAAGATATACCACGAGGAACCACCTCTATCATATGTGGCCTAGATGAGCGGCTAACTGCTCTTCCAGGTGTCATATCTCCGCTAGATCAAAATTAACAAAAAAGTTGTCAACTACAAAAATGAAGCTCTAGTCTTGTTCTATAAGTCCAGCAAATTTCAGGAAAATTGAGAGGGATTCTAGCCACTTTTTTAAAGCGTCAAACTGAGAAATGTCATTTTCTCTCTCTCTCTCTCTCTCTCTCTCTCTTTCTGTATTTTCTATTTGACCTACCACACCTTTATTCGATCACACAAACAAAACACAGTCAAAAATAATACATAGAAATTCATACGATTCTCTCTCTCTCTGTCTCTCTATTTGCCAATAAACCATCTATTTCTCTTGTTATTCCTACTATTTCTATGAGTAGTTTTAGTAGTTGAGTAGTATTATTTTTGTGTTATTGTCATTGTTATCGAAGGAAAAATTTTGAAATTTCGATAAAAAGGAGAGAAGAGTAAATATAGGCGGTTTTTGCCAAAAATATTATTTTTGGCTCTTTTTTTTGGGTTTTTTGGAATCCTCTAAAAAATTGATTTTCACGAAAGTTCTAGATTTTCAAATTTCTTGAAATCTTCCCAACTTTTCGGAATTGTTTAATGTTTTTTCTGCAATTTCTTTTGGTTTTTCTAAATGTTTCAAATTTTGATAAAAATGAAATCAAATATTGGGGATTTTTGGTGTTGACAAAAACCCCCGAAAGTATAGTTTTTTCCCAAAATTTTCTCTGCTCTTTTTTTTTCTATTTGCACTGATTTTTCCCTTCAAATATCTTTTTAGACCAAAAGCAAACTCTTTTTTGTATCATTTGGTCTTTTCAAGAAGGTTTTCTTGTTGCAAAAGTTGGCTACTGATACTAGAGAATCTCGGAAACCGTTTTTTTTAATTTTCGTAATTTCGGTTTTCTCGAAAGTCTAGTTTTCGAAAATATTAAAGATTTTACAGTACTTGGAATTTCTGAATTCGTTGTATAATTCAATTTTGAGTTATTGTACAACCTGTATTAGAAGGGCCGGCTCTTCTATTTTTTCAAGGTACCTCCGTAGGGACCTTCTATTACAGGGGCCCTTCTAATACAGGTTTTACGGTATCTTCCCGGAATTTTTGTTTTTTTCTCAATTTCGCCATAATTTGAGGAAATTCAGAATGTTCAGAATTTCGAATTTTCAATTTTCGAAATTTCTAAGAACTTCCAAATTTTCGAACTTCCTGAATTTTTTTAAAAATTAACTTTTTCTGAACTTTTTGGATTTTCAGAATTTAGAAGATTTTACAAGATTCAGTTTTTTGTGAGCTATTGATTTTTCAATTTTTTTTTTAGTTTTCGACTTTCTCAAAATATTTTCGGCTTCTCTAAATCTCTCCTTTTCTCTCTCTCTCTCAGTTTTCTCAAATGATTCTATGTTCTGCAGAAGACAGGTTCCCACTAGAAAATACATTTTACATTTATAGTTATAGTTTCAAAAATTTTTGATCATTGAAAAATTTCAAATTTCTGTGGTGAAAAATTAATCCGAACACAGTATTAGCAAACAGAAACGCTGTTTGCTTACTCTCATTTTGACCTTTTTGATCCGAAAGAAAATTCAATGAGCCGCCCAAAAATATAGTTTCTATGTGTCTTGTAGTTTGGGAATTGTCATATATATTTTTTTAAAGTCTTTAGGCTCTATTCGTTTAGAAAATTGAAGAAAAATGACTGGAAAATGGTTATTTTCGACTAAAACCCCGTATTCCGGTAAGCTCCGTCCACTATAATTCTGCGGCGCGCATTTTCTTTCCTTTTCGTTTTTTTTAATGTTTTTAAAACATAAGGTCTCCTTACAAACTTCAGAAATCAAAACTTTCGAAAAAAAAGTGTGAAAGCGCGCCGCAGAATTGCAGTGGGTGGAGCTTAGTGAAACTTGAAGTTAGCCGGAAATAACCAATTTACAGTCAATTTTTTCTCGATTTTCTCGCTTTCTGTGCAAACAATCGACGTTTTAAAGCATTTCTGGGCTTGAAAACACCCTTAAACAAGCAATTTTAAGCTCAAAAAACAGGCAAAAAGCGGAATTTGTGTTGGTTTTGAATGAGTCAGCTGTGTACATCAAACGGAGGGGAAAGATGTCCTTGAACGTGTTATTCTTGTATATTAGATGCTTCTCTCTTTCACTCTTTCTTCTAGATGATTCTAGAAGACGTCACGTCATCTTAGAAGACACTTTACATTTTATTAGTCATTGGGAACTTCCTCCGATCGTTTCGGCTAGAAAAGTCCCCTTTTTCGTCCTAAACTACCTACTTTCGATCTGAAATAGGCAATTTCTGGCCTAGAAGATTCTAATTTATTCTAGAACCTTCTTCCTTCCCCAGTCCAATTGACATCCGCCCCACAAAAAAGAGTGAAAAGGGGATGAAGCTGTCAATCGGATTCATACGGAAAAAAAGGGAAAAGGATGGGAAAAGAGAAGATAGAAAAAAATTATAACACATCTTCCCTTTTCCATTTTGTGTCCTTTGCTTTACTTTCATTTTCCTTTCTCAAGGCCAGTGTTCTGGAAGGTTCTAGAAGTTTCTACTTTTACATACCGCATTTCCGCTAATATCACCCAATAGCCAATTTGAGCTCAATGATCTCGGTTCCCATAAGAGATATCCAAAATCTGTCAACTGATAAAATATTGGTGATATTATGAAAAACATTTTATCAGTTGACATCTTTTTGATATCTCTGACTGGAACCGAGATAAATGGGCTCAAAGTTGACAATTTGGGTGGGCTAAGGAAATACGGTAAATTGATTTGGAAGCCCCCAAAATTCAAGCTGCTAACTTTTTTTTTTAGTGGAGCGCTGTTGCAACTGTTTTTCTGAATTTTGAACGTTTTTTTTTCGACGAATAAATGTAAAATTTTGTCGAATTTTAATTTCATGAGAACTTTTTATAAAAAATTTACAGTCGATAACTTTCTGAAAATTTCAGTTTTTTTCGTTTTGGGAAATTTGAACTGCCTAAAAAAGTGCTTTATACTTGTCAGGTCGATTCGAAATTCTCTGAATATACTAAACAAAAATAGAGCTTCATTTTTGTAGTAGACAACTTTTTTGTAAAACTAGGCCCTGACAAGATATGCCACGTGGAAGTGTGGGTTCCTGGAGGCGCCGCCGCCTTTAGTGCAGTTCGTGCGCGCTGGAAGGATGAGATCTTCCACGTGGCATATCTCTCCAAGGAAAAGAGTTACAAAAAAGTTGTCAACTTCGAAAATGAAGCACTATTCTTGGTTAGTATCCTCTGAAATTTTCAAACGATCCAAAAGGTTTGGGCTACTTTTTAAAGGCTTGAAATTCACTCTAAAAATGGAGACAACCATTTTTTTTCAATTTTTTTTCTTCAAAAAATGACACTATTAGCTTGTCAGTTATCATCATTATTTCATGTTTTCAAAAGAATACTATATGACAGTTTTCAATCGGATTTCCAGGGGATTTTACACACTTTTGCTATTGGGAAATGAGCTATACACTAACTATTCATAACGATACCTCTTCTTTTTCTTTTTCTTCTTTTCTATGGAAAAAAGAAGTTCTCTATTGTTGTTGTCCGGTTTTCTTGCTTATTCTTCTCTAAGTCTCATTTTCACACCTCGTAAAAAGGAAAACAAAAAACTAGTCGTTTTTGTTTTCCTTTTTACGAGGTCATCTCCTTTTTTTTTTGCTCTAGAAAGTTCTAGCTAGATTTTTATGGTTTCAATTGTTTTGAATTCCCGCCTATCCCAAAAAAAGGCAAGTGCGCCCTATTGATAGGCAATGTTTTTCAATTGAAAAAAAAACTGGAACGCACAGAATTGGAAGAATCACATGATAGTTATGAATAATTATAACAACACAACCCGACAAAAAATGTGACCAGAAAAAAGGTCGGAATATTTTTATCACCTTTTTATCAGTAGTTTTTTTGATAACCGTTTTTATTTTTGACCGGAAATTGATTTTTTTTTTCAGATTTAGAGTCTGGAAAATCAATTTTTATCAAATTTTCATATTTTTGGGAATAAAAAAATTCGGATTTTTTGTAGTCTACTATTTGAGCAGCTGCCCTTTGTGGCCATATGAAATTGTTGTTCAGGTGGTAGAATTGAAAATTTTTCAGGAAAAAACGATAAATCTTATAATCCCAGTAGAGTTAATTAAGTGGAAAGTTCGAGAAAAAAAAAGAAGAGAGAAGGGGAAGAAAGAGCGAAAAATGGCCAGTTGAGCGGAATGATTTTTGACTTTTCACTCGTAATTGCTTCTTCTTCTTCTCCTTTTTTTCTTCTTTTTTTCAATAGATTTTGGACTTTTTTAACCTTTTTTGAAGCAAATTCAAGGAAATTACAGTTTTCAGCTAAAAATCTCTTTTTTGTCCTCTATTTCTTTTTCTTTTTCGATTTTTTCCACAAAATTCGTCAAGAATCCACCGGTGGCCGCGGTGGCCGAACTCTTGCGAAAACTCTTCCACCGCCCGAAATCGCCGATTTCGCATCCCTTTTTTTCGCCGATAAATCACCTGCTTATCTAGATTTTTCATGTGTTTTTCGCCGGGAAATTTGAATTTGACTTTTTTTTGGATTAAAAAAAGATTTGAACTAAATTTTCTGTCTTTCAGAATGGGTACGTGCATCAGTCGTGAGGCACGCGCACGGCGGAAGGAGAGAAAACGGATCAACAAGCGATTGTGAGTTTTTTCTACACTGAAAAATTAATTAAAAATGAAAATAAAGTCTGAAATTCGCTAAAAATTAAAAAAAAAACTTTTGAAAAAAAAATTCCTTTTGAATTTTTTTTGAAAATTTTTTTAAATTTTAAAAATCAAGAATATCGGTATTTCAAGCAAATTTTGTGTTTAAAAATCTCAAAAATAGCCTTTTTAAATAGAAGAAATGAGTGAAATCGCTATTTTTGCAGACGGGAAGCCAGAAACGCCTCATCACCACGCGATCATTATCACCAGCCAACGAGTACATCAGGCGGACGATTCGGCCATCGAAGTAGATCAGAAGGAGGCAATGGCGACGTTCGGGATGATATTAAAGAGCTGATTATTGAAACGTTGGAAGTGATTAGGACACTGGTTAATAAGTAAGGCATTTTGACCATTTTGAAGGGGAAAATGACCGAATTTAATTGTAAAAATCACTAGAAATGACGATTTTGACCCGGAAAACGGTCAAAAATCGAACTTTTCGACTCAAAAAGTGTTCAAAAATGAGAATTCCTTGCTTAAAACATCTTAAAAATCGATTTTCCAGCGAACAAGAACCACCACAATCACTGCTCAAGCTAAATTTCATTGCTGACGAGGAGAAAGGATGGATGTTGGTTGTGAGAGCGTTGATCTATACGGTAGGTTGCTACAGTAACCTAGGAATTTTAGGAATTTTGAAAAAAAAATGGAAATCCCGAAATTGTGAATTTGAAGCATCCTGAGCTTCTGGAAATTCTGAAAATTCGATTTTTTTTGAAAATTCAAGTTCTTAGAATTCGTATTTTCACAATTCTGCAAAATTCAACTCTTAAATTTCTGAAAATTCTGAATAATCTGGAATCGTTAGATTTGGAAAATCTGAAATTCTGCCATTCTGAAATTTCGAAATTTTGAATTCTGAAATTTCTGAAAATTTTCAAAAAATCCAGGATAATTTGAAAAAAAAATTTTCAAATTTTCAAATTCTAAAAATTCTGAAACTTTAAGGAATTCCAAAAAATCTGAAGATCCATGAAAATTTGAAAAATATGGAATTCTGAGATTCGGAAAATCTTAAATTTTGTGATTCTGGATTTCTACAGTTTCCAAATTCAAAGATTCTGAAAATTTTGGAAAATCAAGGATAATTTGATAATGTCTTTGGTCTGAAAATTTTGAAATTCTCAAATTTTGAAAATTCTGAAATTTTAGGGAATTCCGATTTCTTTAAAAAAGGATTTCTAGCATTTCTAGGCTTAAAACTCTTGAAAATTTAAGTTTTTTTAAATTTAAGTTTTTTTTCAAAAACGCCCAATCTTTGATTTTCAAACCTATACGGTAGACTACAGTGATCCACGAATTTTCAAAATTTTGAAAAAAAAGTTAAATTCTGTAGTTTCGAGGTTCTGAAATTTCAGAAAATTCTCTCCTTGAAACTGCTGAAAATGTCAATTTCTAGCTTTGAAAATATTTAAATTTTCAAGATTCCAAAAATTATAGAAATTCTGAAAATTCGATTTTTAACATTCTAGGCTCAAAACTGCTCAAAATATCAATTTTCAGCCTCAAAATCTATAAATTCCCACGTTTCAGATCCCAGAAAACGATCCACTGGGGCCAGCAGTGATATCTCTCTTCCTCGATGAATGCCCTCTTCCCAGCAAAGAATCCGTTCAAACCCTTCTGATTTCTCTGGGTCTCTCATCTGAATTCGTCGAAACGAAACATCTTTCACCGTCGTGGCACAAGAATATGTGCATCGTGTTGGGATCCCTGGCCGAGAAGATGGCTGGAACTGCGGCAGTGACGATTTTCAATGAGAACATTCGAGGATATCTGATGAAGATGATTGGCTACGGTCTGAGTTATTTCCCACCGACGTATGGAAAATCGCTGGTGAGGAAACTAAAAAATAGGCTTGAAATAGGCTAGAAATAAGCTTAAAACATGCTTGAAATAGGCCAAAAAATTGGAGCTAGTAAGCTCAAAAGAATAGGTTTGAAATAGGTCAAAAATGGGCTCAAAATAGTCCAAAGATAGGCTTAAATAAGCTCGAAATTGGCTGAAAAGCGGCTTGAAATAGGATAAATGGGCTTAAAATAGGCTTTAAAAGTCCAAAATACGCTTGAATAGCCTAAAAATAATCTTGAAATTTGGCAGAAAACGGGTCTAAATATCCCAAAAATGAGCTTAAAATAGACTGAAAATATATTCTCCTAGGTTTGAACCAGTCAATGTTTAATCTAAAAATCACATTTTCGAGCTCAAATTCATCAATTCTACACTAGAAAATTCCCATTTTTTGGCCCAAAAATCCCAGAATTGACTCCCAAAAATTCAAATTTTCACAATTTCCAGAAAGAGAAAAACACGCACTGCGTCCGAATGTTCGCCCTTCTGGCACTGGAGAAATTTGCTCAAACGCGCGAAAATCAGATTACGATATGCAAAATGTTCACCGAGAACTCGGCAATCAAACATCCGCTTCTGAAAATGGAGGAATATTTGAAGAACGAGGATGTCGTACGGTATTGGCACGCGAAACAGGAGGGATTCTGTGCACAGTGGGCTCTGGATAATATTTGTGAGTTTTTGGAATCGAAAAAATCTGAAAAATTGATAAATTCTAGGTCATGACCTAAAACTCCAAATCTAGGTCATGACCTAAAAACCCAAATCTATGTCACGGCCTGGCCAATCTAGCATTTTTAAGCTTCAAAATAACCATTCTTTATCTGAAAATCATCTAATTTTGACCTATTTTCAGTCATCCTCCCAAATCGTCCCTACTCTTACGAAACGTGTGAAACTTCTCAAATCAACGCGATGCTGAATCATGAAGACGTCAGTGAGTACCTGAAAATCGGCCCCGACGGCCTAGAAGCCCGTTGTGACGTCTCCTCATTCGAATCCGTCCGATGCACCTTCGAAGTGATGGATGGTGTATGGTACTACGAGGCTACAGTACTCACATCTGGTGTCATGCAAATTGGTCTCGCCACGAAACGATCGAGATTCCTGAACCATGAGGGCTACGGTATTGGAGATGACGCGTCGTCGGTGGCTTATGATGGGTGTAGACAGCTGGTTTGGTACAATGCAAAGAGCCAAAAACATGAGCATGACAACTGGCAACCTGGAGATGTCATCGGAGTGCTTCTGGATATTCCACGTGGCGAAGTGCAATTCCTGTTGAATGGTGTGGCGTTGAAAGAGCCGAATACCGAGTTTCTGAGCAATCGACAGCCATCGGAGGGGGTCTTCGCAGCGGCGTCGTTCATGTCCTTCCAACAGTGTCGATTCAATTTTGGAGCCAGTCGATTCAAATACACTCCTGGACGCAAATTCCGATGCTTTAATGATTATGGACAGCTGACGACGGCGCAGAGGACGATTATTCCAAGAAGAGTGAGGTTGGAGCAGTTGGAGAAGGAGCACATACCCGATGATTACTGTACGATTTGTTTTGCGGCGCCGGCGAGCACGAAGCTCACGCCGTGCAATCATGAGTGAGTTGTTGGCCTGAAAATTTAAAAAAAATGAAATCTAGGTCATGACCAGAAATCCTAAAAGTCCAAAAGATAAAAAAAACAAAATTTCAAAAATTCCAAAACTATTCAAAGTTCAAAATCTAGGGCATGATCTCGAAATCCTTGACAAATTAAAACCTAGGTCATGACCTGAAAATCCTAAAAATACAAAAAATCAGAATCTAGAACGTGACCTAGTTTCGGAAATCCAGGTCACGGCCTAAAAAACCTAGAAACCCAAATCTAGGTCATGGCCTAGAAAATCTAAATCTAGGTCATGACCGAAGAATCCAAATCTAGGCCATGACCTAAAAATCCAAATCTAGGTCATGACCTAGAAATCCCAAATATTGAGATCTAGGTCATGACCTATTTTTTAAATGTTGTTTTAATTTTTTATTACGAAATTCCAATATTTCTTTCCAGTGGTTTCTGTCCCGACTGCTGTAACATGATGGACTGCTGCCCTCTGTGTCGTACGCCAATCGTAGAACGTGTCCCAATGAAAACCAACAACAACAAGTTTGAAGCGTTCCGATCGCCGTCGTTCACCAGCGGATTACAACGAGTGAACAGTCAGCGAAAGAGCATCAGAGCCACGTCGGCGGCGGTTCAGGGAGCTGGGGATACGGTAGGTTGGGGTTCTGGAGCCGACAAATTGGCTTGAAATGAGCAATTTTCATCTGAAAATCGTGAAAAAAGGGTCAATTTTAGCCCAGAATGGTGAAAAATAAGCAATTTTATCTGACAAATTGGCTTAAAATGAAAAATGTTGAGCCCAAAATCGCGTAAAATAAGCAATTTCGAGGCAAAAATAGCGAAAAAATGACCAATTTTGAGCAGGAAATTAAGCTTAAAATGAGCGATTTTAGCCAAAAATCGTGAAAAATGCGTTTTTTGAAATTTGAAAATTCGCCACTAATTCAGACTAATTAAACCCCTAATTACTCTAATTACAGACAATTCGCTCCACCAAAGACTCCGCCCCTTCAAGCTCCGCCTCCTCCGCAATTGCTCGTCGCCATACTCAAGTTTAGAAAATTTCAAAAAATTCAAATTTCCCGCCTATTGATATACATATTGTTCACCCTTTTAGTCAGTTTTATCATTCATATTTTTGTCCACCACCCCCTGTGATCTTGTCATCCCCCACTCATCCCCGTGTTACTAGACTACAAAAACTACGAAAAATTCTCTGAATTTGAGGAGAATTTCTAAATTTTTTTGTGTTTTTGAGGAATTTCAGCATTCAAAACGGGTTTCAATTTTTCTTGTTTTCCATGAAAATTATTGATTTTTTCTGTCTGTCTTTTTTGCTCAATTTTGAAGTTTTTTTGTACATTTTGTGTATTTTTCATACATGTCTCGCCTCTCTGTATAGAATTTTTCTATGTGGATTTTGAATGAAGAGGATTTCCAGCTGATTTTATTTCAAATTGGAGTTCCATTTATTGTTTAGGCCATGAGAAAAATTCGCCAAAAAAAACGGAAAGTTAAAAAAAAATAAATTGCGAAAATTGACACAATTTAAGGAACATTTTTCGAAGAGAAATAGAGAAAAAACTAAAAATCTAGTCACTTTTTTTTTGATTTTCTGGGATTTTTAGCTTTTTTTGACAATTTTAAAAATTTGTAAAAATCAATAATTGCATTTTTCATGTATTCGATAGAAAGTTGGTTTTCTAGGCCACCGAAATTCGCCCAAATTTCAAAAATGGACCCCACTTAAAAATGTCTGTTTTGGACCCCAAAAATCACAATTTAACGTCTGAAATGCCATTTTCGACCTGGAAATTCTATATTTGATACTTAAAATTCATGAAAATTTCGAAAAAATCGATTTTTCACAAAATTTTTAGAGCGTTTTAGGTTTTTCAGCTATTTTTGAAGATTCTCTATCGATTTTTCCGGTTTGTTTGTCTGAAATTCGAAGGGACAGGGGTTCTGGGTTACTGTAGATTGCTGAAGTAGTTTTTATTGCAAAAAATACCTTTCAAATATCTGCATTTTGGCGTGATTGTGTTAGCAACAAAAACTACTACAGTAACCGAGAACCCCGTTTCATCACACTTTTCACATCTGAAATATTCATTTTTCGACGGGATTTATGACTCAGAAATTCCTGTTTTTGAAGATAGAAATGCTCTTTTTGTCCGCAAAAATGAAGATTTCCACTTGAAAAAAAAAGCCTTTTCTAGATAAAATTGCCTTTTTTCGGACCCCAATATGCACAATTTTCCCCATCTAAAACGCAAAAAGTTCCCAAAATTTCCAGCAAAACAATGCCTCGAACATTCGAAGAGGAGTGCGGGTTCATCAATCGTCTCACGGAGACCAAATTCCAAATTGTCAAAGGATTCGTGCCGAATATGAATGTAGAGGGGCGGTTCTATGTGAATAGTCGACTCGAACAGCTCATGTTCGATGAATTGAAGTTCTCGTGTGATGGACAGGGAATCGGTGGATTCTTGCCGGCTGTCAGGCAAATTGCCAACGTGGCATCGCTGCCGGGGATTGTGGGACACTCGGTAAGACCTAATAATCCAAATCGGGGCCATGAAAATCAGCTGAAACACGAAAAATAGCCCTAAAACCACGATATTGAGCCTTTGTGTTGTCGGAATAAAAAAGTGAGACTCGGTGTTTGCGTACTTTGATTCCTGATTCCTCACTTTTTTTATTCCGACAATAGACCAAAAAATCATTGAAATCCGTCTCAAAATGAACCTAAAGATTGGATTGCTCAGCCTTAACTCGTCTGAACTGAAAAACTAGCTAAAAATAGCTGAAAATGCCTCTTTTAGGCATTCAGAGCTAAAAATAAAGCATTTTGTGCGTTTTGTCGTAGGATTCGGTGTTTGGTTTGGTGTTTGCACAGAATCGGCGCTACAGTAACCCGAAATTTTTTTTGAAATTTTTATAAGAAGTCCCTCCAGGTTACTGTAGGCTATTTTAAGTCGTTTTCAGAGAAGTTGCTTATTTTCTGGGTTACGATCTAAAAACACAGAAAATCCATATTTAGGTCATGGCCTAAAAATCCAAATCTAGGTCATGGCCTAAAAATCCATATTTAGGTCATGACCTAAAAATCCAAATCTAGGTCTTGACCTAAAAATCCAAATCTAGGTCATGGCCTAAAAATCCAAATCTAGGTCATAGCCTAAAAATCCAAATCTAGGTCATGACCTAAAAATCCAAATCTAGGTCATGGCCTAAAAATCCAAACTTTGACTGCAACTGTATGACTTTTTTGGATTACTGTAGCAATTTCTTCCAGATCGGTCTGCCTGACATCCACTCTGGCTACGGTTTCTCTATCGGCAACATTGCCGCATTCGACGTCGGCAATCCAGAAGCCGTCATCTCCCCAGGAGGCGTCGGATTCGATATCAACTGTGGAGTACGTCTTCTGCGAACGAATCTCTTCGAAGAAGACGTGAAACCGGTGAAAGAGCAACTCACTCAATCGCTTTTCGATCATATTCCGGTTGGAGTCGGGTCCCGAGGAGCGATTCCAATGCTAGCGTCGGATTTAGTAGAATGTTTAGAGATGGGAATGGATTGGACACTACGAGAGGGTTATTCATGGGCAGAGGATAAGGAACACTGTGAGGAGTACGGTAGAATGTTGCAAGCCGACGCGTCGAAAGTTTCGATGAGAGCCAAGAAGCGGGGATTGCCACAGTTGGGAACCCTGGGAGCCGGAAATCATTATGCGGAAATTCAAGTGGTTGATGAGATTTATGATAAGCATGCTGCCAGTACAATGGGAATTGATCAGGAGGGACAGGTGGGTTTTTATTTTGAGTCTAGATACGGTATTCAAGCTTAGAACTATTTTGAAGAACTCTTCAAGATACACATTTTCCAATTTGAATCGATTCGAAATTCCTACGTTGAGGCGAGTTATAAGCTCATCCAACCATCAACTTTGATCCAATTTATCTCAGTTCATATAAGAGATATCAGACAATGGTCAACTGATAAAATGTTTATCAGAATATCAGGAACATTTTATCAGTTGGACGTTTATCAATATCTCTTATAGAAGCCGAGATAATTGAGCTCCAAAATATAAGTGTTTTTCTGAAAAAAAAAAATATTTTTTTCACTTTTTAGGTCATGACCTAGATTTGGATTTTTATGTCGTGACCTAGATTTAGATTTTTGAAAATTTTCAGGTCGTCGTAATGCTGCATTGTGGAAGTCGTGGGCTTGGTCATCAGGTCGCTACAGATTCTCTAGTGGAAATGGAAAAGGCGATGGCTCGGGATGGGATTTTTGTCAATGATAAGCAGTTGGCATGTGCTAGAATCAACTCGACGGAAGGTAAATTCAAATATCACAGTTCCTAGAAGAGATATAAAAAATCTGTCAACTGACAAAATGTTGCTGATAATATGATAAACATTTTATCAGTTGACATGTTTTCTCTAGCTACAGTAGTTTTTGAGATATGCGCCTTTAAAATTAACTATCGCTTTTCACCGTCCTTCCATGTGCCAACTTTAAAGGCGCACATCTCAAAAACTACGGTGAGTAAAAAGAATTTGTCAACTGATAAAATATTTATCATGATATCAGGAACATTTTAGCAGTTGGAAGATTTTTGACACCTCTTACAGGAGCCGAGATAATTGAGGTCAAAGTTGAAGTACGGTAGTTTAGGATCAATGCGATTCTTCCAGGCAAAAATTCAATTATCTTAATTTCCATGAGAGTTATTAAAAAAGTTGTCAATTGATAAAATGTTGTTGGTATTATGATAAACATTTTATCAATTGACAATTTTTTTCTAGCTACAGTATTTTTTGAGATATGCGCCTTTAAAGTTAGCAAATGATAGGACGGTGAAAAGCGAACGTTAACTTTAAAAGCGCATATCTCAAAAACTACTGTAGCTAAAAAAATTTGTCAACTGATAAAATGTATGTCATGATAGAAGGAACATTCCATCAGTTTACAGATTTTTGATAGCACTAATAGGAGCCGAGATAGTTGAAGTCAAGGGGGAGGTACAGTAGTTCAGGATAAAAACTCAATTATCTCAATTTGCATGAGAGCTATTGAAAATTGGTTAACTGATAAAATGTTTGTCATGACATCAGGAACATTTTATCAGTTGGAAGGTTTTCGATACCTCTTATAGGAGCCGAGATAATTTAGCTCAAAAAATGTTTCCAGGCAAAAACTACTTTGCCGGAATGGCAGCCGCTGCGAATTTCGCTTGGGTCAACCGCTCGTGCATCACATTCTGTGTCCGTAACGCCTTCCAAAAAACCTTTGGAATGTCGGCAGACGATATGGATATGCAAGTGATTTATGATGTATCTCATAATGTTGCAAAAATGGAGGAGCATATGGTTGATGGGCGGCCGAGGAAGCTTTGTGTTCATCGGAAAGGAGCGACAAGGGCGTTCCCGGCACACCATCCACTGATTCCCGTGGATTATCAGCTGATTGGACAGCCAGTGTTGATTGGTGGAAGTATGGGAACGTGTAGTTATGTGCTAACTGGAACTGAGCAGGGAATGGTGGAGACGTTTGGGACCACGTGTCATGGAGCGGTGAGTTGATGAGAAGGCTCCTTCGAAACCGTTGTAATACAGACGAATGGATAAATTTTGGACTACAAAAACGATTATAGGGTTTTCAGCAATGCTTTTTTCTAATAGAAAACATTTTGAAATCTTTAAAAAAATCAAAAATTTGGTGTTCTCAAAAGAAGAAAATTCTTGAATTTTTGGATTTTCAGAATGTATTCTATCAGAGAGAGCATATTGGAAAACCCTAAAATCGGTTTTGTAGTCTGAAATTTATCCATTCGTCTGTATTATCACGGTTTCGAAATGACTGGTTTCGAAGTGTCGCGGAGCCCAAAAACCACAACTTTAACGTCTGAAATGCCATTTTTGACCTAGAAATTCTACATTTTGATCCTTAAAATTCAATTTTTCAATCTTCCAGGGTCGCGCTCTCTCCCGTGCCAAATCTCGTCGTACAATCACTTGGGATTCGGTGATTGACGATCTCAAAAAGAAGGAAATTTCCATCAGAATCGCCTCACCCAAACTGATCATGGAAGAAGCGCCAGAATCGTATAAGAATGTCACTGATGTCGTCGACACGTGTCACTCGGCTGGTATCAGTAATAAGGCTGTCAAATTGAGACCCATTGCTGTTATTAAGGGATAATTAACTTCATTCATCTTGTTTTTTTTGCTTAAATTTTATTGATTTTTTTTTTGATATGTACCGGTTTTCTTTGTATGTCACATTTCCATGATTTTGCTGGAAAAATGTTGTTTATTGCACAAAATTTTTAAAAACATATTTTGAAGGAATTTTCTCTGAATTTCTGATTTTTTACTGCGAAATGGTCAAACCGAAAATTTCTGGAATTTTTTGAAAATTTTCATTTATAGACTTATTTTTTTTGGGTTTTCAATTTACTTTTTCCCGAAAGCCCCCGAAGTTTGTGAAACACGAAACAATCTATGAGAATGGTGCTAACAAGGGAAGAGTTTTCAGAAAAGCTTGGAGATTTTTTTCCAACTTTTGTCATTGGTACTGTTGAGCACGCTGATTACAGAATTGAAATCTGTTTTTCCACCCCGGCACTGTAAAAAAAAACCATGAAAATTATGAAACAAACAATGACACCATGTTAAGGGGATCATACAGTATACTTATTCAAATTTTCGAGAAATTCTCAACTCTTTTTTTTAAAAACTTCCCTTGTACGAAGTCATCTCTAATCCACAGGCATTCGAGGGTTGGTCCGTGTGTTACAAAGAAGCATAGTTGCAAAAGGATGGGCCGGTAGACACATTTTCTCGGCCCGGCCCGCCTACTACAGTTGAACGTTTTCCAATGAAAGATAGGGTGATTTTTTTTTTGAATTAAAAAAAGGTTACATTATTTAACAAAATTAACAGAGTAGAGAGTAGTCAAAAATAGGTCGTTTTTGTTTAAATGTTTGAAAAATTATAAGGCTGTGCCGCGGCCGGCTTTTACTACGGCTGGCCGGCCGCGGCTTCAGAAAAAAATTGAAGAAGCCACGGATTTCGCATAAAAGCCGCGGCCGGCCGACATTCTGCACAGCCTTGAAAAGATCCGAAATATTCAAAAAAAATTAGCGTCTCTACAAACCCCGGCCTGGCCCGCCAAATTTTTCGACGGGCCGGCCCGAGATTTGCAACTTTTTTTTTCTTCATTTTTTGCTTCGAAATATCTAAATATTTGAAAATCCGATTTTTCACCTTTTCAAGTCGAATTTTTTTGTTAATTTCAATTTATAGACCTACTTTTTGATTTTAAATTCATTTTATTCAGAAAAAACCACCCGGAAATGGCTTTTCCCGGCGAAAAATCACTGAAAAATTCTTCGGAAAAATGCAATTTTTCCAATTCTAAACCGCGCGCGGCCGTTATTTCGGAGTGTCGTTGTCAACTCTTTTTCGGCCATTTTTCCCCTGATTTTTCAATTTTCCCTCAATTTTCAACTAAAAACCAAGGTTTTTTTGGCTATTAGAGGTTTTCTGGAGTGTAAAAATCGAAAAATCAACTTTGAAAACCCGAAATTTAGCGAAAAAAATCCAAAAAATATTTCAAAATTTATAGAAATTACGATGAGTCATAAACTACACTGATTCTAGCTCGATTTTCACAATTTCCGGCTCATTTTTCTCCAAAATTCGGTCAAAATCCACATTTTCCCCCATAGGAGACGCGCCAAGGATTCGCCGCCTAGGCGTCATTGAGGATGGGTCAACTGGTCAAGGCGCGTTTCTAGTGCTTGTGTACTTTCTGTGCTGCTGAACTTTTGTGTTCTTTTGACGACACAATTTTTTTCTTATTTTTTGCTTGGAGAATTCCAAAAAATTGACCTCTTTTCGACAATTTTCTAGCTCGCCACGTGGATTTTTTGTTGGAAACTTGTGGAGTTTTGAGGGGGGTTGATGCCTGAAAATCACCTAATCAAGTCAAATTTCAGCAAAGTTTTCAAGCCAAAATTTGAAATCTAGTGAGCCTCCATCTCCTGGTTATTGTGGAAAATCTGAAATGTTCAGATTTAAAAAAAAATCGAAAATTGAAGAAATCGAAAAATCGCATGAGAGAAATTCTCGCCGGGTTCATCCGAGTCTTGACCGACTTCCGCATTTTCTGGACGTTTTTGGCACTTTTCCTATCGATTTTCGCGTTTTTCGACGTATTTTGGAGTCCAGATTTCTGGAAACAGTCAGCTGGAATAATGCAAAAATCTGGAATTTTCAGACATTTTTTCAAATCGAGACGTAATAGTGAAGAGGCGAAAAATAGGTAAACATGGGTCATTTTAGGCTTAAAATACATTTTTTNTCAATTTNTATATGTTCATTCCCCCCCCCCCCCCTTATTTTTTTCTTTTTTCAAATCGATTCGAACCAGATGGTCATCTTCTTCTTCTTCCTCCCATTTTCCCCTTATTTTCC